TGAGAAATCATTTGATAATTTAATGGGAGATCCCTTTTAGGTAACTCTGTTTCTCTCTTGCAGCCTTTAAGATTCTCTCTTTGTCATTAATGTTTGCCATTGTAATTACGATGTGTCTTGGTGTGAGTCTTTTTGTGTTCATCTTGTTTGGGACTCTGTGCTTATGACTTTTTTCTTTCCCAAATCAGGGAAGTTTTGTCATTTTTTCTAGTAGGTTTTCTATTTCTTGTTCCTCTTCTTGTCATTCTGGCACCCCTATTATATGTATGTTACTTTGTTTCATGTTGTCCTAAAGCTCCTTTAGGCTCTCCTTCCATTGGGTGTGTTTTTCTGCCCTGTCTTCTAATTCACCTCCGCTTCTTCTAGTCTACTGTTGAAACCTTCCATTGTGTTTTTTATTGTAGCTATATCATTCTTTATTTCCACTTGATTCTTGCATAAATTGTTGATTTTTCTCATCCAGCTGGTTTAGAAACTTGTCATACAATAGTTTTTAGTTAATTTATTTTTCATTCTAAGAAAAGCTCATGGAATTTTATTTCATAATATTTCATGCTTACTACCTTATCTTGCATTTATCCTAGGAGATAATTTGATTGGGCTTAAAATTTTCAAGTCATGCATTTTTCCTCTCAAAACATTTTAGACACTGCTTCATTGTTTGGTTTGGAGGGTGGTATGGGGAACTCTGGGGTCTATCTGATTTCCTCCTTTGTAAGTGACTTTTTGCTGGTATATTTATATCATTACAATTTTAAAGGTCTTTTTTATCTTTTTGATATAATGTTTGATACATTCAAAAGATTAAGTATAAAATATGTAAATTATAAATAAAAATAATAGAGAATACACCCAAACATATATGGAAAACTGACATAGAATAGTGGTGCAATTGCAGATCGGAGATGGTGAGACAAAGGACATTGAAGGATGAGGGGAGGAGGGGGTTGGTAATGATTGCTAATGGCTATAGGGTTTCTTTTTGAGGGAGAATAAAATTAGAAGATGGTGATGATAACACAACTCTATAAATATACTGAAAGCTGTTGAACTATATGTATGCTTTATTATATGTAAATTATATCTAAATAATGATATTAAAATGAGTGCTCTGTAATAACACAAAACAATGGGGTTGAATTCTTAAAAATCATAAGTTGAATGAAAAAAAAAAGAGTTCACCCCCTTATTCTTGGGAGAATATATTCCAAGATCCAGTAGCATCTGAAACCATGAAAAATACTGACCCCTATGTATGGGGTGGGTCAACAGTAAAATTATGGTTGTTCATATGAAAAATAATATGATAATTAATAAATTATAATACAAGAATAAACTTTCACATACTCACAACTGTAAACCTACTTTTGCCTCACTCTGTATAATGTTTTTTCCTATAATAAAGTTTAATTTATAAATTAGGCACAGTAGGAGAATAACAACACATAATAAAATAGGACAATTATAACAAAATACAATAATAAAGTTAGTGAATGTGCTCTCTCCCTCTCTCTAACACACACACACACACACACACACACACACACACGAAAAAAGTCTGGAAATGAATTAAGCACCCATAAGTTTCTGCTAACCAATCTAGTAATGGACATGGTCATTCAACGACTAATGGCATACAGAGTGAATATGCTGAACAAAGGGATGATTCATGTCCTGACAGGACAGAGCAGGACAGAGCAAGATTTGATCACACTAGTCAGAACAGCTCACAATTTAAACTTTTATGTGTGTTGAATTCTGGAACTTTCCATTTACTGGTAATATTTCAGACTTCAGTTAGCTTTGGGTAACAAACCTTGGAAAGAGAAACCCTGGATGAAGAGGGACTGCTGGATATAGTATGATATCTCTTTTACATAATTAAAAAAGCAAATAGAAATAATATATTACTTATGGATATATTCATACATTATAAAAGTATTTGGAATATTGAAAAGGAAGGATAAACATACAGCAGAGCTCCTCCCTAAGGGAAGAGAAGGAAATGGGACAGGGGAAGAAGTTATAGGTAGATGCAGTGGTGTCAGTGATTCTTGAGCAGTCTGCTATCCATAAAATGATCATTACTTTGGGATGTCTTTTCGCTAGCTGCCTTAAAAACTTTTGTCTTTGGTGCTTTTCAGATCACTACTATGTAGATGATATCTAGGCATTGATTTTTGTGTGTATGCACGCTTTCTGAAATTGTGGTTTAATAGTTTTCAGCATTTCTGGAAATTTCTCAGCTGTTATCACTCCTTGATTAGCTTGATTTTCTCCTTCTATGGCTCTCATTTGACATTATTAGACCTTCTCATTTTATCCTCAATGTTTTGCATTATTCTTATATTTTCCAGGTGTATTTTTTCCTGGATTATATTTTAGTTAATTTATCCATTTCTATCTTCATTAAATCTATTTTCACATGTGGCAAATGTGCTTCTTAATATGTTTTGTCCTTTTCTTTCAACATTTACATATTTTACGTATACACCGAGTGGCCAGATTATTATGACCACCTGACATTTGTAGGCAAATTAGCTATAATTCCGCGTGGAAGTTGCTAGAGGGCCAGACCATTATAAATAGGAAAGCAAGTTGTTTACCATGACAGTAGAAGTGATTTTTTTCTGAAGATATGGTTAAACAACGTGATTTAACAGCCTTTGAACATGTATACATATTTTACGTATACACTGAGTGGCCAGATTATTATGACCACCCCATCAGTACTTCGTTGGGCCACCTTTTGCCTTCAATACTGCCGCGATTCTTCTTGGCATTGACTCCACGAGATGTTGAAAGGTGATGTGCGGAACCTGACACCATGCCTGATGAATAGCACTGTCCAGTTCTGTGAGATTTGATGGTTGTGGAACCA